TCGCTAACGGAAATGATTTCCGGCAGATCTTCTAGCTAAGAGAATTGAGACTGGCTACCAGGTCTGTCTAAAAACATCCTCATAAATTTTCAGCTTTCTAGCTTTTCAGTTTTCTGAGTTAGCCAATTACTTGCAAAAAATTTTCACGGGTCCGTACATGGAACCATGTATATTGGGGCTGGATTTGAACTCATTAGCACCAACGTGGACGGGGAGCATCCCCTTAAAATTACAGCCTTCTAGCTTTTCAGGTTCCTGCAAAAAAATTTCAGGTGGGGACCACGCATACCGGAGGGTTGGGTTTGATCTTATTAAAACCTACATGGATAGGGATTATGCGTTTTTGCATTGCATAGACGCAAAAAATGCATAATAAAAATGGACTGTTTGCGAATACGAACAAACATCCTACTGTCTTCGACCGCCAACAGTATTTGCCTCTGAGAAAGAAACCTCGCTTCACAAAATTAAGCACATTAACTGCAAATATGCCCAAGCATACCGTCTTCAAGCAGTGCAACAGGACGACCCAATGTTGCATTACCCTCCTGTTCGCCACAGAATTTCATTATGAGCTCCTCCTTGGATCGCACCGATTCACGAAATGCTTCGATTTCGATATTCATTTCCTCAATTTTCTCTTCGTATTGTCTGAAAAAGAATATGATTATTGTTGAAATGTGAAAATATAATAACTAAAGCCTACAGCCTACAGCAGGTGTTTGGCCTCCTTATCCGTCCTACTGTGCTACCCGCTTTAACATGATTAATCTAAATTTAACCTCTGTACCTATGGGTGCTCCTTGAACTCTTAACCGGAGGCGCTCACGCAATGTGGGCGAAACTAACTCCTTCTCCAACAACCCTCCCCAACAGGCCCAGGGCCTTAATGAGGGTGGAGAGGTTAATGACGCCGCCCCTTAGGGGGAGTGATTAACCAGAAAATATACTAACTGTTTATGCCAGAGCTTTCTCCCTATGTATTATGAGTGCGTGAGGAAGTGAAGAAATTTGAATTTTTGCTGTGGGCAAAAATTTTTGATTTTTTTCAAATTTTTTTTACCTTCATTTTTAAAGTATAAATTCCAGCTCCGTAGTACAATGCTTGGTTAGACTGGTATAATTTATCCCCACTGATAATTGATAAATTATAAACAGCCCGCTGCAAGAATGAACCATAAAAGTGATGCTTGCTGTGGCAAATTTTGCAATCAGAACTCATTTTTCCGCGTACTCATTGCTTCTCTTTGAACTGCAGTAATACTTTGATCGTATGCTAAAAATGAAAACTTTAATTACTTGTTCTGTTCCATCAGAAATTGAATTTCACGACTGTACGATGCTGCGTTTAGCTGGCAAGCTGTCAGTTCACTCTCTTTTTCCAAAATCAAACTGATTCTTTCCTGCGGGTTTTTCAGCTCTTCCATCCTCGTCCTGAAAATACTACTGATATGCACAAAATCTCATCGAAGAGTCGAGCTCGGCAGAAAAAGTGCAAAGTTTCTTACAGCAGTTCAACTTGACGATTCGATTTCAGCAAATTTTGGCGTAGCATTGCCACTAAATCCTGATTAGCTCCAACTTCATCGGTAAGCTCGTAACAGCGATCTTTGAGCGTATTCACAACACCAAGGAGCTGCAAGATTGCGAAAGTTTCTT